AAAGAAAAAAATCATTAAGGTAGACGTATGGAGACAAAGGAAAGATCCCGAAGTTAAGTCATGAGTTGGGAGCAGAACCCTACAAACATACATGCAAACACACGTGCCACAGAATGCAAAAGAATTCTCTAGAATAGTGAAGTTCTGAGTGGAGATGAGACACTCAATGGGGTCATTTATAGAGACCACCTTAATTCTGTTCATAGAGTTGAACTTCTCTGTAAGAACACTAACCCACCACACCCCCACCGTGACGCCCAAATTCAAAGTTATTTTTTAAAATATAATCAGGATTTTGAGACAACTCAGAAATAACATGCCGAAGTATCAAATGTCATTGACATTTTTTTTTAAACTTTAAGTTTCCCATTTCTGGTGAGTAGTGTACACTTCTCTGGTAAGCAAGCGGGCGCTACAGTCTCGTGGACCTCACATTCCATTTCAGTTAGCAAATCTGTCAATTAAAGAGACACACTTAAATGGCTCATCAAGGGGTCCTCCTTGGAGCTCGGCACTCCATCCAGGCATACTGATTTACTCCTCTCAGCCCCAGTCCTTGCTAGGACTGAATGCTTGGTGCCTGAAGTACAAAGACACTGGCTTGTTTGATTTGGCAGTAATTGTCTCTCTTCCCTGAAACAGGCCCTAAAATTGCTTCTATGTTTAGAACAAGATTGCTCTGTTGTTGCTATTGGTCAGAGAGACTTACCTCTAAGAGTTGTTTGACTGATGAACAGACATTTGTTGGACACAAGCTAAAGACACAGGAACCCTTATTATGTGCATGCCTATTGAGCCCATAATGACTTTCCTATGAGAACATGAGTTGTGAGGGTTTTACTGCCTAGTAACACTTTGACTAAACACAGCGATGATTTCAAGTTTCTGGTTGTTTTTTGTTTGTTTTGATTCAGGCAGAGCTGGGCATTCATCCCATGGCCTTTAAGCATGCTACCAAGTTTTCTACCCCTGAGTTTGCATCTTCTACCGAGTTTCTGATTTATTTGATTTGATGAGGACAATTTATTTGTTAAGGAAAAAGGCACTTGAGCCAAGATACAAAAAGTAAATCCCAATCCAATAACCCTCAATTGCACAAATAGGGGGGTAAATATGGCCAGTCCACATTTAATATACTTGCAGCTGAAAGAGTCCCTAAGCCCTTCATACACATCCTCCTCTTTATGTCACACAGAGAAAGCCAGCAGAATATTTTTGACTCACCAAAGCAGCTAGAGTCTCACTTGGTGGACATCCTGAATATTCTCCAGTCCGTGGCCTAATTCACCCACACATTAGTGCTTCAGTGCTCAGTAAGAACTTTCCATTGATGTAATCTTGCCCCAGACTTTTTAAAACCCCAAGTAGCTGCTTCTTTATTTAAGTTAAACATATGTTCCCTGGCCTCTGTACCAAAAAATTATCCCTGTTAAGAAAACAGGAAAAACAAATCCATGAAATTTGTGTGTATGCCGATTGACTAGAGAGATTTTCTATTTTTATCATGAGCAACTTCAACTTATTGTCCTTTTAATTTATGGTAGACAAAAACCTTACTTGGTATCTTAAAGATACCAGACCCCCGGAAGAAATTCTGTGCAGAATAAGGTAAGACGCCTAAATTAAAGCTCTCTAGACTTGTTTACATTTGAAAATGAAAAGTGCTGCCCTCCTTATGATGAAATGAAATTGTTGCTGCCTCCCACGTCCCATGCACTCTGAAACCCTCTCCTCCACACACAGCCTTCCCTAGTTCAGTCAATAGCAGCTCTATTTTCCTAATGCCTCAGGCCTAAGGATATCAGATCATCCTTGGCTCCCTTCCTCACTATAGCAGTCCAACCTGTTGTCATTGCCTGCAAGATATGTTCAAAGTCTGAGCAATTCTTTGTTTTGGATAATGTTTTTATTCTTTGATTGTTTCATACATTTATACAAAGTATATTGATCATATCCACCCAACAAAACCCCTTCAAACCCCCCCAGGAACCGCACCCAATCTCCCTCCCAGATTTATGCCATCTTTTTATTTAGCTTATTGTTTCTGAGCCTAAATAGTGCTTTGCATATGAACGGAGATGTGTGGCCCTATGCTGGAACATGAGCACCTTTCAGTGTCCACATCTCAAAAGGAGAATGACTACCCCTCCCTCAGCCGTTATCAACTGCCAATAGCTCCTCTGACAGGTGAGGGTCACATTCCCACATGTGTGCTGGAATTTTGACTGGTTTATGTAGGGAACCACAGCTACTGTGAGTTGATGTATTCAACAGCCATGTCATATCCAGAGGTCATCATTTCTTAGCTCTCATTCCCACCTGCTAGGTCTTACATTCTTTCTACCTTCTCTTGCATGAAGTTCCCTGAACCTTAGACGGTGAGAGGTTGGTCTAGATGACCCATCCACAGCCAAGCACTTGGGACTATTGATAGTTAGCATGTTGACCACTTCAAAAACAGAAGCTTCTCTGACCAAAGTTAATTGCAGCTCAGATATGGACACAAACACAAATATTTATAATGTAGGTTAACAGCATGACCATTTGGCAAGAAAACAACAGTAGATTTCCATCGGGGACTATGCTTGCCCTAGTCGTGGGCTTTGGACCATGTTTTCAGCCCCAGACATAAAATACAGCTCCAGTGTATTAGGCCTCATATTTAACCACAAAGCACTTAGTTCCTTCCATAGCTACCATGCCATTATCGCACCAATGGGCACATCATGCTGGTAGGTCAGCATTGTAATATAAAGAGTACAGCTTTGGATAAGACCATTGATGTCTTTTCTCCCCAGTAGCCTTCATAACACGTTCTGGTACTATGTATAACATTTTCTGGTACTATATATTCTAGGTAGCAGGAAGGAAGTTTCCTAGAGATGGAACATTTTTCAACACTCTCATTGGATGATTTTCAGCAGCATTTAACCTGACCTTTCTATATCTACCTCTCTGCTCTCTATTCTCCTCTTGAGAGGTCATGTCCCACCGCCATTATTCTATTGGTTAAAACATAGGTCTAATATGGTCCGCATCTGTTCTCCAACATTATCTATCACCATTTGCCCTTAGCTCCTTCTCTTCCACTCATCTTGCTTTTCTTCAAACACATAAATTGTCCCCTAAAGGACTTTGGACTTACTATTCTCATAGCCAGGAATACTCTTCACCCAAATGACCAGGTGGCAATGCTTCCTCATTCTCTTCAGGTCTTGTTACCCATGTAAAACAGCTACAGCCTTCTAGTACTCCATACCTTACACCTTGCCGTGCCTTATTTTTCTTCATTGTACTTATAATCTCCTTGAATTACAATACATTTGCTTATTTTATGTCTTCCTTGGTCTGTGATTCATAATAGGTACTTAATAAACATATCATGAATAACAGTGATGACAACAAGAAAAACAAAGATGTTGTTGTCTTCTGGATTTCATGCAGAGCAGTGGTAAGACAGACAGGATGAAAAACAAAAAACAATAGAAACTTCAGCACAAGAGCTATAACCAATCAATCACAACTTCTACTCCACGAGGGCTTTCATGGAACTAAACCTTCTGAATTTTAAACTTAAAGAAATTAAAATTAAACTCCTACAAACGGTGCATTTGAACCTGAACCAAGTTGCCTCTTGTCACCCATCTCTGAGGTCTAATGCTGCCAGGATCCTGAGGCTTTCCTCTTTCATGTCACAAACCATGTTGCACCCGCTTTCAACCTGCCCCACAGGTCTGTTATCACAGTGTTTGGAGGGGGGGCTTTTTGATCCTTCTTTGCTAGTGTAGGCTGTTGTTTTCGTTCCCAGTCTGTAACTCTCTTCCATCTTGGGGCAATCCAGATCTGGCACATGGACACATGGGCCTTTGTAATCTGTGGGTTAATTCTAGATGTGATACAAGGGCCAGTTGCACTGTTCGAGCAAGTGAAGATCCCATGACACAAGATCTCTGGGAGATCCTGAGATCTTAATTAAAAGTTGTCAAAAAGATATCAAATGATAGAAATATGGGGGAAGGTATCAAGTAGATTAATATGGGGAAAAATGCTTAGTTATTTAATCAACTAAATGTCTGAGCTGGAATTAAAAAGAAGCAATAAAAATATTCCCTTCCTATAAATTGTCCACAGTTTAGAATAAGGAAGCCAAGTGTATGACTCTTATTATCCCCTAGTGATATGTGCCGGGGTTTGTGGGAGAATATGGAAGGGAAATCTGACCAAAACAAGGCTTGGATATAAGAACAGACTTAGGTCTAAACCAGTTCCCCAACTCTTATCTGTGACATATTATACAAATTACTCAAATATTCCATCATTTGGTTTTCTTCTGGTAGGAACAGGGGGAAAGGCTAATGAAAATAATTTTAAAGTGGCTAAAATTTGCATAACATTGTGAGCACTTGTTTCCTTTTGAAATGCCAGTTTTATGATTATAGTAAAAGTCTTTATCAACATTACACTTTTTAACTTTATGAAATACAGACTGGAATTCTTATATGCCGTGTGGGGAAACTGAGGCATCCATTGTTAGGATCCACAAGATGGCATTCTGTGGTTCTGCAGCTCCAGAGCACATCAACAGAGATCCATATGGAAGCTCATAGAAAAGACTGAAGCAGGGGACCTGGAAAAGAGTCACAGGCGGTGAAGGTGGGGAATGGGAGGTGACCAGTGTGTATTAGTCTAGATTCTTGAAACGAATCGGTAAAATAAAAAATAAATTGAAGATAGGCAAGAATTTAAAGAAAGGGGACATTAAAAAAAAAAAAAAAAAAAGTTTGGTTAGAAAGCTTCTTTTCACTTTTTTTTTTTTAACCTCTCTCAAACTACAGTGAAAGTTAATGAATATGTGTCCCTAGCAGCAGGCTGACAGTTGATATGGAAAATAGATGTCTACATCTGCAAATCTGAACTCAGCCAGGCCCATTCTTAGAACATTCTAGAAGCACACATACCTTGTGCTGAAGAAGAGTCTGTGGGTGCTGATATTTACTTACTTCCTAGTGTGGACTCACGGTAAAGCTAATATTTCCTGCTGCTGCTGCTGCTGCTGCCTCTGCTGCTGCTGCCTCTGCTGCTGCTGCTGCTGCTGCCTCTGCTGCTGCTGAATGTCACTGTTGAGACCACAGGAGTGGTATTGCTAGAATAATAAGTGTGTTGTGTTGAACTAAGGACCATAGTTAAGCACTGTGCAAATAATTGCATGTACACCATTATATGCAAGTCTTTTAATCATTCTATGAGGTAAACTTATTTTCTCCATGTAATAGATGAGGATATTCAGCCTCAAAGAAAGGAAATAACCTGCCCCTGAGCCCTCAAGGACTGGGCAGAGCAGTAGAAAATAGCTGATGTGCCATGCCTTTCCAATCTACATCGACAGCAGTTTTGCATGGTTAAACCCCGAAAAGTGTGAGACTCCATCAAACCCAGACTTATTTGTGTGATCAATCACTCTGCCACAGTATTCCTGGTGTAAAACTAAATGTCCTTGAACCTGAGAAGAGAGAAAACCTGGCTAGAACCCAGCAAATGTTTAATGTATATGAGCTGTTGGGTTCAATCCCCTCAAAGAAAAAGAGAGGAGAAGGGAGGAAAGAGAGCAGGAGAGGAAAGAAAGAAAACCCTAGCCAGGTGTGGTAGAGCACACCTACAATCCCAGCACTTGAGAGGTAAAGTCAGGAAGACCGGGAGCTTGAGAGCAGCCTGGGCTAGAAGAGACCCTGAACTGAAAGCAAAAGGACAGTCCTAGCAAGGCACCCACAACACCACATTTTAGTGCTTCTTTAACTCTGCATGCTACCATTAATTACATGGATATTCAAAACAGAGAAACTTTTATAGACCAAGAATTGCTCATCCATTTTCACATATGTATTTCTCTTTGGCCTTATGAAAGACTTAGGTTTAAAAATTTTCTTGGCGGTGTTTGACAGATTTAAAACATTATTCATTCATTTGACATGTATTTATTATGAGTAATAGCATGGAGCGTTTCTTACAAAACTTTGTCCCTAAAAGGAAAGGTAGGTTTTGTAATAATGGCAAAGAATGTATTTAAGATAATCTGACTGAAGAGGTCTTTGTGGATTCATGCCATGGTAAGAAATGAAAGGGTTTAATTTAATCACTCAGGCATTTCTATTAAAATGCTATGGGCTGGGTTATATGAAGAGGAAAGTGGAGAAAATTGGGGGCTTTAATTCAGTAGGAGGAGGACAATACAGAGAGAGAAGAAGGGAGAAAGAATAGTAACACCAGGAGGTTTGAAAACCCACAGGTAATTATATTATGTTGAATTTACTGTTTTATGTTTATATTTGATATAATTTAAACAATTATATTACTTTATATTTATATCACACATAATATACCTAAATACATGTGTATGAATATGCATATAGTTTAAATGAAGTTATGCCACTTGGCCATACACTGTCTAACAAAACCGCAGGTCTAGGTATGAGAAACTCCCTACACAGCTGTGATACCCAGGATCCACAACAATGATCACCACAGCAAGACATTCCTAAAGGTGTGTGATGGCTGCTCTTGGTTATCAACTTGACTGCATCTGGAATTAACTAACACCCAAGTGGCCAGGTACACCTGTGAGGGAACGTTTCCTTCATTAAATCATTTGAAGTTATAATCTAGACCTTTCGAGGTGGGAAGATACTTGGCTAATTTGAGCCGCGCTTTCTGTTGGCAGCCGATATAAAGGACATGGAAAATAGAAGCTTGCTCTCTTTGCCTGATTGCTCTTGTTCTCACTATCAAGACCATCCCTTCACTGGCATTAGAGACTACTGGTTTTGGAATTGTGGTATATACTGAAGACCAACTGAAACACATAGCTGTGTGAACTTGACAACTACTGATTCTTGGACCTTCCACTGATGGACAGCCATATTGGACTAGCTGGACCACAACCTGTAAATGCATCTAAGAAATCTCTATCTCATATGTGTGTGTGTGTGTGTGTGCGCGCACGTGCACGTGTATAAGATTGACTATATGGTTCCTAGCTCCAGCTGATATATCTACAGCACAACCCATATACCTAAGGCTCAGGGAACATACCAGAAGATGGAGTAGAAAGGTTGGAAAAGCCAGAGGATCAGAAACTCAGATGTTATATTATGTCTTCTATATATATATGACAGAAAGGCTGCACCCATGAAATGTCAACAATACGGCTGCCTAAACAAGACCCAAACACTGACAACACCAGTTCACATGCCAACATGGATGGAGGAAATTGCATGAGGCCCCACCACAAGATGAAGAGCTACAGTCAACTACTGACAGTTGAGAAAGGAAGAATCGGCCTTTCCCGGGGATGAGCCCCCTAACTGGTTATCCAATCCCAAGTGGTCAGCCCTAAAACTGTGAGCAACACTAAACACAGCAGGTTGGGTTTATATATTCATTCATATATGTGTATGTATAACAATAATAATTAAATAAAAAGAGGGCATGAACTTTTTGCAGGGTGCACATAGAGTGATTGGGGTGGGAAATAATGTATTATATCTTAATTGAAAATAAAATAATTTGTACTTAATTATGTAGGCTAAAAGAATAATGTTCAAGGAGACTCAAAGCATTTCTATTTGTAACAAATTAAGTTGCCCCAATTGCCAAGTGTTTCTTCTTGCCTAGTATTTTAAAAGTCTGATAGTCACTACATGCCAGAGAGTAGGGAGCGCACCTAAATGTTGTTGATCAACGTCTCCTGAAACTGAAAAGATCTGGGAAGAAGAGCAGTTTATCCTTACACATAGTTTGTAACAATACAAAGATGTACATCATAATACTTGCCTCCAAGCCTGATCACCTGAGTTAGATCCTGGGTCTCACCTTATGGGTGGAGAGAACCTCTAGCAATGTGTCCTCTGATCTCTAGACCATGGCACTATGTGGTGCACACACATGCAGATGCACAGATACACACAATAAATGTAATTTTTAAAATGTCCATATAAGTCTGCCTATTTTACTTTTCCTTTGAAAAACTATTTTCACATATTCTATTTCAAAGGATTGCATAAAACTCTAACATTTGTTTATTAATACATAAAATTAAGAAATATGACAAAAATTTTAATTAAATTGCATTTATTTCTATAACAAATAGCAAAATTATTACATGCTTATTACCTTTCTTGTGATTTCTTTTTATCATATGGGTTTTTTATACCTAAAGGGGGATGTAGGCTAGACCAAAGACAGTACCTACCAGGATTTATTTATACACTCTGCTTCCCCTAAGAATCCAGTGCACCATGCAACAAATATTATTTCCTAACTCATAAAGTAGGCTTAGCCTTCTATTTAAATTTTTACATGTGAATACAAGGCTATTTCCCTTCTGGTATAATAAAATATAAAAACATGATTGCTAAATAGCTACCTAATTGAATTCTAAATAGCATTTTAGAAGAGTGACTTCCAAGTAGAAGACCAACATAAGATAAAATAGAATTACAATTCTAAATTCAATTAGAAAATCAATAATAGAAAAGGGTAAATTATTTCCAAATTTTGGTAGGAAATGCATTTTCTCAATACATGCCCCCTCAGTATTACCCATCATATTAACAATGCTTCAAATCCAATTGTTTTAAAATTATATCAATTTCAAGTCCAAATTAGACTCATCTTTGAAAAGGCATGTGTTATCTAATCTTGATCATTTCAATAATGACTTAAAGTATAATGGGGAGAAAACTACATGTTGGTGTAATGGACACTTGAAGATGGAACTTGAAAAATACCATTTGTCTGTCACCCAGCACTAGCACTTCTCTTTCTAACACTTCTAGCTGTGCCCTACATAAACTACTGCACAGCCTATCTGCGCCATGTGCCTAGCTCTATGGAGGGCAGTGTAATGAATTTGGAACTTTTTTCAGAAGCAAAACTAGTCACTGCCAAAAATGAGAAGACAGAAAAATAAGGCCCTATTAAAACTCTCTTTGTTTTTAGTGCTAGACTAACTCCTATTGGAGAAATTTATGTTTTGAAGACCTTTCCTTAAATAGTGGGATCAACTGTGTTGGGGGCTAAAAGACAGAAAACACTGATGAGGAATTTATTTTCTAAGCATATTTTCAAAACCATTCCTTTACACCTACAATGGAGTTGAAGTCAGCTGTTTTTAATCACTTGAAGGAATGTTAGTCCTAAAGTTTCAGGTAGAGATATGGGTTGAATTTTTATTTGTGCATGTTCGTCAAAGTCTGTACCTTATACTTTAAGACATACATGTGGACATGGTACAGAAAACCAATGAATGGCTAAGTAACCTTGAATGTAAATAGTTGAGAGACTTGATCCATGATGGTAGTCGAGTATCTATAGACTTTTGTGCTGAGTTTGGGTTCAGCTATAAGAGTTGTGGAGTATTGCAGAGTAAAATGAGGTACTGATTGATTTGCATGAGTCACATTGTCATATAATAATAAACCTGGGGCTATAACCCAGGTCACCTGACTCATATCCCATTAAATTTTTCATACCAAAACGTTGTGGAAATGTATGTGTTGTATTAGAGAGGTTTGCAGAGCCCATTCCCAGGAGTTCTAACACTTCTTGCATCTCTGTGAGGAGTCTCAGATGAAAAGAAAGATGACTTATTTCACGTCCACCTTAATCTAAGTGGTTCTTTTTTCTCTTAAAAGAGATGGGTAATTGTTAATAAAATTTCACAGTCAAAGATGTTCTCCTACCAAAAGAGGTTAAAACTTAATTTTTAATTTCTGATCTCACACAATGAAACAAAAATTCTCCTGCTATCCATACTAAAAGTTACTGAATAAAAAAATAAAAGTTCCTTTAATTGTTTATAATATTGTGCAATAATACCCAAGTGTGAGAAACAAAGAGGATTTCAAATACCAAGAATCTCTTAGCAACGGTTTTCTGTCCCACAAACTAGGGATATTTTCCTCTTTAATAATCTCCGATGAGAAATAGATGAGGCCAAGTCTGTGAACTTTGGGATAACCACCATAAAAGACCCATTCAGAAAAGGGGGAGTGGAATGTGTGCACAGCCATTCTGAAAGCAAACTGGACTCCTCTTGCTAGTTCCTTGATTGAGGTTCAGTTCTGATCTCTATGAGATCTTCTCCAT